GGCTCCTTAAGAGCCTCCTGGGGAGATACCTGGCAACCCTTTTGAAATGTAATGGTGACCCATAGGTTGGGAAACCCTGACCTAGAGCCTTCCAGTCAGATCAGACTAGCAGTTTGACCTGGCCCTGCGTTGTGCCTTAACCTGCACTTGTTGAAGTCACGTGATGAATCCAAAACTCTGGTCATCTGAAGAAGTGGGCTGTGCTCTCGAAAGCTCATGATTCCATCTTCATGTTTAGTTAGTCTATAAAGAGCTACCAGATCAGTTCTCAAACTAAATGTTCATGGTCGTAACCAGACACATGTCTTAATCTCTATTCTAGAGTGCTGGGGTCTGGTTCCTGTGATTGCAGATCGCAGCCTGAGGGCTTTGCGGTCTGCTTCCTGGTACAGTTCATTGTGCAGAGAACACAGGGTATCTTTTTCTCTGTCGTGCTAGTCACGTGCAGAGTTTAGGACACATTCTTATTGTACTGGGGCAGCCCTGAATCACACTGAGGTATCTTTCTAAGGGTTTCTATACCCAACACCATAGTTACCATAAGCCCTTCATTTGTGCTCCCTTTAAGGCATGCTCTTCCTATCTGGTAATTCCCTCACACGTGTTAGGCTTGGGATACACTACGCTGAAGGTTGAACCTCTCTAGTCCGGCATCCTTGGGACCTGACGGGTGCCGAACCAGAAAATTTGCCAAATCACAATATTGTCTAGCAGCATTACGAACACTTCCACTGCTTACTGGGCTCTTAGAAGACATTTAGAGGTAAATTAGAATTAAATAACAGCACAGAACATTGAGGCTATGTCTGTACTGTCTCCATTTTATGCAAAAAATATGCAAGTGAGGCGAAGTATGGAATATCACCACACCTCATTTGAATAATTAATGAGGTTCCGTTTTTGTGCAAAAAACCCCTCTTCCGCAAGAGCCGTTCTTCCTTAAAAAATGCAGAAGAACAGCTCTTGAGCAAGAGGGGGGCTTTGCGCAAAAGGGAGCCGTGTAAACAGCTCCTTTTTGCAAAAAAGCCTCTTGCGCAAAAATGGAGCCTCATTAATTATGCACATGAGATGCAGCGATAGTCCATGCTTCACCTCATTTGCATATTTCTTGCTCAAGAGGCTATAGTGTATAGCCTGAGACCCATAAAAAAAACTTTATAGAACTGTAGGAAATTTGGTCAAACCCATGATAAGTGGACATCAGGCTAACTCAAATCATGCTAGAGCAGAAAGTGCTGGACTAGAGAGGTTCAGTCTGTACAAACATATGTCAGGATAACTGCATCCACAGCCCTCTGTGACGTTGTTACACTGGACCAAAGCAGGTGCAGAAGGTGGAATGTCTTCTCCGTTGAAATAGATTTTTGCCTGTCCAGGAGGTACAGTATTTAATGTCAACAGGAGGGACTCTCCCAGCTGCATAGATATAATCTCCCCTGTGCACTAGAGCAGTGCAGCTGCACCACTGAAAGTGTAGACAAGCCCTTATTTGAATTGACACTTCCTACGCCCTTGGAAGGTGGGTCTGATCCCAAGTTTAGGGATGAGGAATTGGGCACAGGCATTAAGTGATTGACAAAGCCCTGGCAGGGATGATTTAGTTGGGATTGGTCCTGCTTTGAGCAGGGGGTTGGACTCAGTGACCTCCTGAGGCCTCTTCCAACTCTATGGTTCTAGGGCCCTAGCCTTGGGTCAGTCTGGGACTTAAAAACCTCCAGGGATGGCATTTCTACCACCTCCCTAGGTAACCCATCCCAGAGCTTCACCATCCTCCTAGGGAAATAGCTTGTCCTAATATCCACCTAGACCTCCCTTGCTGTGACTTGAGCCCATTGCTCCTCGTTCTGCCACCCGTCACTACTGAGAACAGCCTCTCTCCATCCTCTTTGGAACTTCCCTTCAGGTAGCTGAAGGCTGCTATCAAAGCCCCTTCACTCTTCGCTTCTGTAGATTAAATAAGCCCAAATCCCTCCGCCTCTCCTAAGTCATTTGCGCCAGCACCATAATAATTTTGGTTGCTCTCTGCTGGACTTTCTTCAATGCGTCCACATCCCTTCTATAATGGGGTGCCCAGAATTGAATGCAATACTCCAGATGTGGCTTCACTAATGCCGAATAAAGGGAAATAATCACTTATCTAGGTCTCCTACTAATGGACCCAGTATGCCATTAGCCTTCTTGGCTACAAGGGCACATTGTTGATTCATAAAATACCAAATTCATAGTCCATTTTGGTTAATTTCACAGTTGGGGATTTTAAAAATAATAAATGTCATTATTTCAGCTATTCAAATCTGAAATTTTTCTGAAACTTTGGAATGGGGAGAACATCACAAGGTTGTTGTAGAGGGATTGTACTGCTACTCTTACTCCTCTGCTGCTGCTTGCAGGGTGCTGCTTTCAAAGCTGGGCATCCAGCTACTGCTCTGTGGCCTCCATCCTCCCAACTCTGATGGCAGCATAGAAATAACCATTTGACTCCCCACAGCTCCCTTTCGGATCAGGAACTCCAATTTGAGAAACACTGGACTCCACCGTGAAATCTGTGTCATAGAGTAAAACCACACAAAAACTCAAATTTCACAGTCCATGATGAGTTTTGCATGGCTGTGAATTTGGTAAGACCATAGTCCAAAGCATGGTAATTAGTGGCAGAGGATGAGATGGTATTAGAATTCAGGAGTTCTGATTCCAGTGGTTCCCAAACTTCTCCTGCAGTTCTCCCCCTTACCACGCACACATGTAATAAATCTGTCCTCACCCCACTCCATTGCTGCAGAGCTGGTTCAAGAGCTGGGAATGGAGAAGGAATTGGAGCTCTGAGGGGATGAGGGTAAAGCTGCTGATAGAGGTAGAACAGAGGGGAGCTAGAATTGCACCTGGGGTCAGAGCTGGGCAGAATGGAGCTGAACAAGGGGTAGAGCAAGGTTGGGGTGGTCCCTCCCCTATCCTGTGGGGGCTGACCTTGGCCCCTCCACATGGTCCCAGGTTGAGAAGTACTGCTGTAGTGCAAGTGTCTCTGAAATGCCAGGCACACTGTTCTTCGTTTATGTATTTGGTGATGTAAAAATGTGTTTAGCGGTTACATGGTTCTATTTTTAAAGATCATAGTGGTTACACACACTGCAGTATAAAGTGTATTTCGTGGCCCAAATTAACTTTAATGCTGCCACCATAAGATAAGTTTTCACAGCTGCTTTTAATCTGTGCCTCTAACATGGAGAGTACCCAGAAGGAACCATTGATCTCTGTCCCACCCTGCACAAAGGTAAAACCTGGTGGGAGGGAACTGGAATTGGTCCCAAAACAAGGCAGGACAGAAGAACTGAGCAGGGCTGGAGTCAGGAAAGGGCACCATTAGCAGCCCACCTCTAGTTAAAAATTAGGGATGTAAAAATTGATTTAAAAATGTAATGGTGTAACTGCTAAAATCATAGCGGTTACACACGTTGCAGGCTCTGCAATAGAAAGCTTCAGTAATCTGTACTGCAGAGCCCACAGCAAAGCTTCCCCAGAACAGGGCCGGCAGCCTTAGCTGGAGTCAGGAAAGGGCACCATTAGCAGCCCACCTCTAGTTAAAAATTAGGGATGTAAAAATTGATTTAAAAATGTAATGGTGTAACTGCTAAAATCATAGCGGTTACACACGTTGCAGGCTCTGCAATAGAAAGCTTCAGTAATCTGTACTGCAGAGCCCACAGCAAAGCTTCCCCAGAACAGGGCCGGCAGCCTTAGCGGCCCCTGTGGGCCTCGCTCCTCGGGGAGCCAGCATGTGGATTGCAGCAGCGGGGAGGGAGCTGGGCTGGGCCCACTACAGTCAGGTGCAGGCAGGGAACTGCTCCAGCACCTGCTGGTTAACCAGGTGATCATTTACATCCCTATCAAAAATAGCTGTGGGCAGGTTGCTAGGGTTGCCAGGTGTCTGGTATTGACCCAGACAGTCTGGTATTTTCGCCTCCTGTCTGGTTAAAAAAAAAAAAATTCAGAAAATACCGGACACCTAAAATGTCTGGTATTTTCTGACGGTTTTTTCCCTGCCAGGAGGCGAAAATACTGGACAGGTGGCAACCCTACACATGCTCAGCAACTGGCCCCAGCCTCTTCCCCCACCTCTCCCCTGGACCCTCCGCTTACCTGGTTCCGCAGGGAAGCTGCCTTCTGGCTCTGATCAAGAAAACAAGATGGCCACTGGCGAAAAGCCTAAAGACTCTTCTTAAAGGGGCCATGCTGTTTTAATGCTGTGCTGGGTTTTTTTGGTTGTTTGTTACCCCTCCCCCCCCCTTTTTCCCCTCAACAACTTTGGTCTCCCCCCCCTTTTCCCCCCCCTCAACAGGATTTTTTTCCCCAGTGTGGGGGTGTGGTTGTGGGGAGTTTTTTTGGTGTTGGTTTTTTTTTTTTTTTTTTTGCTGGGGGCGGGGGGTGTTTGGTATTTATGGTTGAACCATCTGGCAACCCTACAGGTTGCTATTATATGCTTTGGTGAAAAGATGATACAATTCCCCCCTCCCCCCAGCCTAGTGTAAATGGAGGAGGTGGCGGCAGCATTGTGTCCTAGGGTTCTGGTTCTGTTTGGGTGAAGTCGGCGTAGTGCCTGCAAAGCAGCTTACCGTTTGCAGCCTGCCAGAGGGCGTGTTTAAAAAAACAAAGCACAACTTCTTAAATTGACACAGTCAGAGCTTGTTCGAATGTTGGCTGCTCTTCAGTGCCCTGGATGAAAGTGGATCCAGAAGGTGCAGGGTTAGGGTCAGGGCATGGTGAGGACTCTTCCATGCCTTGGGAGAAGGTATTTTTCCATCTTTTCATCTTTCTGTTTGGATCAGCATGGAGCACTGCAAGCTGGGAATTGTGGCCCCTATAAGCGGTAACATTCTACTATCAAGAAGGGGTTTTGGGGGGTGCCTTTGTCCCCCCTTTCTGCTGGTTGTGGTCCCAGAGACCAGGCTGAGGTCCAAGCCAGTGCCACGCACCCTTTCCTTACTGAATTTTCTTTCCTTCCACAGATTATTTATGCACTCCTGAAGAAAACGTGTACAAAATAGATTTCACCAGGTTTAAAATCCGAGACATGGAGTCTGGCACGGTACTGTTTGAAATCACGAAACCACCTGCCTCGGGTGAGTGCAGAGAATGTTGTCACCAATAAACAAATACCACTTCACACGTCCCTTCTTAATAAAAAACATTTGCCTTTCTCCAGCACCTTTCACACCAAGCACTTTCCAACAGCAAGGGGATACTGTCAGCATGAAATTGGTGTTCCCTCTAATATTTTATGTTCACATGCAGAATGAATTGTATGTGCACCAATATGGAGATGAGATGCTACATGTCCCCTCCATATGGGTGCATGTAACAAAATTCATTCGGCACATGGATGACCAGTAGCAGGGACAGGGCTGAGGGATTTGGAGTGTGGGAAAGAGTCTGGGTTGTGGTGCAGGGGGACTGAGGGCTCTGGAGGGGAATGTAGGCTCTGGGGTGGGATTGTGGATGAGGAGTTTGGGGCAAAGGAGGGGTCATAGAATCATAGAATAATAGGACTGGAAGGGACCTCAAGAGGTCATCGAGTCCAGCCCCCCGCCCTCAAGGCAGGACCAAGCTCCACCTACACCATCCCTGACAGATGTCTATCTAACCTGTTCTTAAATATCTCCAGAGAGGGAGATTCCACCACCTCCCTTGGCAATTTATTCCAATATTTGACCACCCTAACAGTTAGGAATTTTTTCCTAATGTCCAATCTAAACCTCCCCTGCTGCACTTTAAGCCCATTACTCCTTGTCCTGTCCTCAGAAACCAAGAGGAACAAATGGCTGAGATGAGGGGCTTCAACTACAGGCTCCCCCGGAGAGAGGCCTCCCCTCAGTCCTCTCACCACAGCAGCTGTGGGCCAGGTGAGAGGTGCCTCACTGCCAGCCATGGCAACCCTGGTGGGGCAGAATTGGGCTTGGGGAGGGACGCGCCTCTCCTGGCTGTGGAAATCTGTGCTGCGGCTGGCAGGGGTAGAAGGTGCCTCTCCCTGGGCTGCGGCAGCTTTGTGCTGGCAGAGACGCAGCTCTCTTTGTGGCAGCCTTGAACTCCTTTGAGTGGCTTGTTACGAAGTTGCATGGCCACACAGCTCGAGGGGACCTAGCCTGAAGTCTAGTCACTTTAAAAACAATGGGTTGGACCTCGCCGGTCCAGCACCCAAGGCCTGGCTGACCCGAACAAGGGGATTTGCCGGACCAGGGAAGGTCCCTCCCCTCATGGCTCATGTTGCCCCCGCTGCTGCCAGCAGCCCCTATCCCCCCCCCCATCCTCCAGGGGCGCTTTAGATGCGGCCTGCTGTGCTGTTGCTGTGCAGCTGCCTGGCTCCGTGGCTGGGGCTGGAGCTCCACAGCCCAGGCAGAAGGATGAGGCCAGAGCTCCATGGCTGCTGCCAGGCTAGAGCTGCCTGCTCTCTGGGGTCAGAGAGCTCTGCTTTAAAAACAATGGGTTGGACCTCGCCGGTCCAGCACCCAAGGCCTGGCTGACCCGAACAAGGGGATTTGCCGGACCAGGGAAGGTCCCTCCCCTCATGGCTCATGTTGCCACTGGGCTAGGGCTCCAGCCTGCCCCCGCTGCTGCCAGTGGCCCCTCTCCCCCCCCCCCCTCCCCCAGGGGCCCCCCCCATCCTCCAGGGGCGCTTTAGATGCGGCCTGCTGTGCTGTTGCTGTGCAGCTGCCTGGCTCCGTGGCTGGGGCTGGAGCTCCACAGCCCAGGCAGAAGGATGAGGCCAGAGCTCCATGGCTGCTGCCAGGCTAGAGCTGCCTGCTCTCTGGGGTCAGAGAGCTCTGCTGGGGCTGGAACTTCCTGTCAGGCCATCTCCCCCCATCTGCTCCTGGGGACAGCGCTGCCAGGCACAGGTGTGCGCGTGGCACCAATGGAAGCCCAGGCTGCTCCAGGCCCCTCTCCTGCCCATTGGATCCCAGTGTGGCCAGACACATCCCTTCCCAGCTTGTCCGTGGGACAGGCAGGAAGCATGGGCCCCTGTCCAGGCCACACGTGGCCTTTCTCCCGGGACATCACCGTCTTCTGGCCTGGGAACTGTTGCTCTCGGCTCACTGCTGAGGGTAATGCCCCAGGGACAGCGTCTCCAGGGATGACTGACCCCCTCTCTCTATGCTCCCCAGCTGGACCAGCTGTGACTATGGGGCAATCACTAGCAGATGAGCCAGCTGAGGCCTAATCAATGCAGAGTCGAGCGGCAGAATGGCTTCTCGTGTCTTGCTTGCAACACACCTGTTAACGCTTCCCAGAACCATGTTAGCTTTTTTTGCAACAGAGTCACACTGTTGACTCATGTTTAACTTGTCATCCACTATGCCCCCAAGTCCATTTCAGCAATACTCCTTCCTAGACAGTCGCTTCCCATTCTGTGTGTGTGAAACGGATTGTTCCTTCCTAAGTGGAGCACTTTGCATTTGTTCTGATTAAACTTCATGCTATTTGCCTCGGACCATTTATCTAGTTTGTCCAGATCATTTTGCATTTTGATTCTATCCTCCAGATCACTTACAACCTTTCTCAACTTGGTATCATCTGCCAGTTTAATAAGAGTACTCTCTATGCCATCATCTAAAACATTAATGAAGCTATTGAACAGAACCGGCCCCCAAACAGTTCCCTGCAGAACCCCACTTATGCCCTTCCAGCATGATTGTGAATTGTTAATAACTACTCTCGGAGAACGGTTATCCAGCCAGTAATGCACCCACCTTAAAGTAGTCCTATCTAAGTTGTATTTGCCTAGTTTATTGATAAGATCATGCAAGACCATATAAAATGCCTTACTACAGTCTAGGTATGCCACATCCACCGCTTTTCCCTTATCCACAAGACTTGATATCCTATCAAAGAAAGCTATCGGATTGGTTTGACATGATTTGTTCTTTACAAATCCATGCTGGCTGTTACCTATCACCTTATTTTCTTCCAGATGTTTGCAAATGTATTCCTTAATTACTTGCTCCATTATCTTCCCTGGCACAGAAGTTAAGATGACTGCTCTGTAGTGTCTGGGGTTGTTCTTATTTCCCTTTTTTATAGATGGGTACTATATTTTTCCTTTTCCAGTCTTCTGGAATCTCTCCCGACTTCCATGATTTTTCAAAGATTTTTAACTTGTTTTATTTTAACTTCTAAACCTACCCCATTTCCACTAGCATTCGCTCTGTTAGGCATACCGTCACCATTCATCATCTTGACGAAAACCAAAACAAAGAAGTCATTAAGCACCTCTGCCATTTCCGAGTTTCCTGTTATTGTTTCTCCCCCTTCACTGAGCAGTGGGCCTACTTTTTCCTTGGTCTTCCTCTTGCTCCAAATATGCTTGTAGAACATCTTGTTACCCTCTATGCCTCTAAGCTAAGTTTAACTCTTTTTGTACCTTTGCCTTTCTAATCTTGCCCCTGTAAACCTGTGGTTTGCTTATATTTATCCTTTGTAATTTGACCTAATTTCCACTTTTTATATGACTTCTTTTTGATTTTTAGATCATATAAGATCTCCTGGTTGATCCAAGGTGGTCTCCTGCCATACACTTTATCTTTCCTATGCAGTGGAATAGTTTGTTTTTGGGCCCTTAATAATGTCCCTTTAAAAAACTGCCAACTCTCTTCAGTTGTTTTTTCTCCTCGTCTTGCTTCCTATGGGACCTTACCTACCAGCTCTCTGAGTTTACTAAAATCTGCCTTCCTGAAATTGTCTCTGTTTTGCTCTATTTTCCATTCCTTGGAATCATGAACTCTGATTTCATGGTTACTTCCTGTCAAACTGCCTTCCACTTTCAAATTTTCAACCAGTTCCTCCCTATTTGTTAAAATCAAATCAAGAACAGCTTCCTCCCTAGCAGCTTTCTTAACCTTCTGAAATAAAAAAAGTTGTCTCCAATGCAGTCCAAGAACTTATTGGATAATTTGTGCCCTGCTGTGTTAGTTTCCCAACTTATGTCTGGATAGTTGAAGTCCCCCATCACCACCAAATCCTGCACTTTGGATGATTTTGTTAGTTTAAAAAATGCTTCATCTGCCTCTTCTGCCTGGGTAGGTAGTCTATAGTAGACCCCTAGGATGACATCACCCTTGTTTTTTATCCCTTTTAATCTAACCCAGAGACTCTCAACAATTCTGTCTTGTATGTCCATCTCCACCTCAGCCCAAGTGTATTCATTTTTAATATATAAGGCAACACCTCCCTTCTTTCCCTGCTTATCCTTTCTGAGCAAGCTGTACCCTTCTATACCAATATTTCAGTTGTGTATTATCCCACCAAGTCTCTGTGCTACCAACGATGTCATACCTGTGTTTGATTACTAGCACTTCAAGTTCTTCCTGCTTAGTCCCCATCCTTCTTGTATTTGAATGTAGGCATTTAAGATGCTGATTTGATTTAGTTCCTCCTGTTCTGCCTTCTCCCTCCTTTATCTCTACTATTATAGTCCATGCTCCCTCCCATTTCTGACCCATCTCCCAGGTCTCCATGTTTTTCACTTACCTGTGGGCTTTGGTTACCTGCCTCTGTCAAACCTAGCTTAAAGCCCTACTCACTAGGTTAGCCAGTCTGCATTCAAATACAGGAGGAGGTCTTCCCCTCCTCGATAGATGAACCCCATCCCTGCTTAGCATTCCTTCTTAGAATAGCATCCAGTGGTCAAGGAAGTCAAAGCCTTCCTGGGACACCATCTTCTCCTGTCTCTACGTGGGCCCCTACCTTAGACAGGAAGGACTGAAGAGAACACCAGCTGTGCTCCAAACTCCTTCACCCATATGCCCAGAGCCCATCTGCTCAGGGTCACACACTGTAGTATTATTAGTGCCCACATGGATGAGTAGCATGGGGTAGTAGTCAGAGGACCAGATATTCCTCGACATAGCCTCCATAACATCTTGGATGAGGGCCCCTGGCAGGCAGCACCTCCCGAGATGACATGTTAGGAAGAGAACACCAGCTGTGCTCCAAACTCCTTCACCCATATGCCCAGAGCCCATCTGCTCAGGGTCACACACTGTAGTATTATTAGTGCCCACATGGATGAGTAGCATGGGGTAGTAGTCAGAGGACCAGATATTCCTCGACATAGCCTCCATAACATCTTGGATGAGGGCCCCTGGCAGGCAGCACCTCCCGAGATGACATGTTAGGATGACAGATGTGCGCCTCCGACCCCCTCAGAAGAGAGCCTCCAACCACCACTCCCTACGTTTCCTCCTAGCAGTGGTGGCAGCAGACCTCCCAGTCTTGGAAGTACTAGGCTTCTCCTCCTCAGCTGTAGGGGGTGATTCCTTATCTCCTGTATCCAGAATAGCATAATGGTTCTCCAAGACCACGGTGGGAGGGTTGGGAGCAGGAGTAGAGCACTGCCTTCTGCCAGAAGTGACCAGCTGCCAGTATCTGCCCTGAGCCAGAACCGCCATCTCCACCACCAGTGGTGTCAGCCATCTTTTTTAATGAGGTAGCATGCTCAATCTTAGCCGTCCCCACATGGATACTCTCCAGAAATTCCTCATGGATTTGGATGCTCCTCAGTTTAGCCATCTCCTACTGTAGCCCTTCCACCTGCTTCCTGAGAGACTTCACCAGCAGGCACCTTTCACACTGGATGGTTCCCCCCAGCCTGGATATCAGTAAGTGGGAATTGCAAGCCACAGTCCCTGCAAAACTGCACCAGAATCTGGATAGAGGCATGCATGGTCAGGTGGTCTGTCTGGCTACAGGTGCAGGCAGAGGTGTTACTGGTCTTTCTAACTGCCACCTCCTTTTAAACTCCCTCTCAGACTCCCCTTTCTACAGCCCCCTGTCCGCTTGTCTCCCCAGGTCACTCTGCCTCTGTTTTTTAAAGCCCTCTCACCGAGGTCAGGCCTACCCCCTCGTTACACAAGGAGGCTGATCCCAAGGTCAAGTGAGGCTGATCAAAAGTAATCAAGGGAACAAAAGATCAAACACTCCCAGTCACACAATCCCAACTGTCACAGTACCTGAAATTACCTGTAACAGAACAGAAACAAAATGCAAACAGTCGAGCATACTCATTCACTCACTTGCTCCGAAGCTAGTCCGCTCTCCTGGCAGCTTGTTCAGCAATAGGATCTCTTGTGCTTCCTCTGAAACACCTTGTCTGCAGCCCCCTGTCTGCTTCTGTCTGCGTGGGACCTCAGGTTGCTAGGCGAGGTGGACTGGCTCTGGTGTGGCTATACTTCTGTTCTGCGGGAGACTGCCTAGTGACTCCAAACACTCTCAGATCCTTACTAGCACAGAAGGGCCAGAATTGGGGTGCTAACTGGGTAGCAGCATGACTTTACAGGGGGGATATCAACGTTTGCATTTGAAGAACAAATTCTTTATATTTCAGTCATATAAATAACTTGTTCTTTGAATGTAAAACTCTTGCCTACTCAAGTGGTAGAAAATGAAAGTAGCCCGTAAACCATTTCCTCAGCAACCAGTGCAGAGGGAGAGGTGTAGAAGTAGCAGGAGAGCCTATTTTCTGTGCTCTGCAATGCAGAAGCAGCGAGTCTGTGCCAGAAGTCCCACTAGGATAGAAAATAGGTGTTGGGAAATCTAGCATTTCTGGACTTTTCTGCATGTCAGCTCCAGTATGACATGATCCTCTCCTCCCTGCCAAAAATGTTACTGAATTGGATATCTTGGAAAGTAATAAGGTTATGATGTATGGCTCTAGTCGAGGATATTGCGGGTAGATGCTGTGCAAGTTTCCCATGTGCATCTTTGCTCACACACTTGCAGCACCAGTTGCCCTTCTGGTTCTGGGCCTTATTTTCCACTGTTACATCACCTGACTCCTCACCTTTAATTCTCCTGTTAGTTCAGCTGCAAGTCTCATGGAGTGAAGGTTGCCAGTCATTCCAAACTGTGTGGCTGTCTTATACTTGTGAGCCAGCTCCTGAGATACAGAGAGAGGGAACAGAAGAACGGCCAGGCTGGATCAGACCAAAGGGTCCTCTAGCCCAGTATGTTCTCTGCCAACAGTGGCCAGTGCCAGGTACTCAGTGGGAAACTGGTGGCATGGCCTCAATTGTCCAGTTCTTCTGCAAACATTATATTTGTGTAACTTCTCGGTTTCTTCCGTGTTTATAGAGCTGGAATCCAGTGTGTACATTATCCCCTTCTGCTGTGGGTGCTTTCCTCATGAAATGGCATGAGGAGGAGAGCAGAGCTGTAGAGCTAGACTTGATGGCTCTGAAGCAGCTCTACCGCCCCATGCTCATTTGAGGAGACCCAGAGAGAGTCCCACAGCATTCTCTACTGCCCCAACTGACTTGCTGCTGCACAGTTGGATCATGCTGTGTCTCACACTACATTTTCCCTGTAGAAACAGGTGGTAAATCTGTCTTCAGTTTTCTGGAAATATTCATGGGATAGAAACTTAAGCAAATAGATTAGCTGATAGAGCATCAGTGATCTGGAACTGCTTGGGGTAGATGTGTTCTGCCTTGATAGCCTCTTCCACTGGAGGATTGCCAAGCCCTTTCCAGACCATATATAGCATAGGACCCTTAGTAGGTAAGTAAACATGAGACACTTTCTGCAGAGAATTAACTTCTCAGTGTCTGAGGCTATTTCTAAACTACATCCCTCTTTTGAAAGATGTAAATTAGGCAGATCGAAAGTGCAAATGTATGGGATATTTAAATCCCCGCTTCTTCATTTGCATAATTGCATCACAGTGTTCTTTCAAGAAAGGGTATTTCGAAAGTGAAACCATCATCTAGATGCGGTTCTTTCGGGTGGGGGTGGGGGAGAAAAACCCTTTTTCAAAAGATCCTGTACTAAGAACCCTTTCCAGATGGTGGTTTCACTTTCGAAATACCCTTTTTTGAAAATGCTGTGATGCGATTATACAAATGAAGCGCGGGATATTTAAATTCCCGCTTCATTTGCACTTTCAATCTGCCTAATTTACATCCCTCTCTCAAAAGAGGGAAGTAGTTTAGACATGCCCTGAGTTTGCCTGACTTGTCCTCAAACATCTTGTGCAGTCTTTGGCTGGGCTTTCAGACTAAGGAGAGGGATGGAAGATCTTTGAGGGGAAGGGGGGGCTTCAAGGAATCAGTTAACAGTCCTTCCCTTCGGTTTCCATGTTTCAGAGCACAATGATGATTTGATTTGTGCCATTCCAGAACGTGAACATGCTGATAAAAAGGATGTTGATCCTAATGCTGGGCGATTTGTGCGCTATCAGTTCACTCCAGCTTTCTTGAGACTCCGGCAAGTTGGAGCCACGTAAGTACCTGGGATGCTGTGTTTTGGGTGCAACTCTCTGTAGCTTCTGTCAGTAACACGTAGTTCAGTTTATTAGGGGCTTTCAGTTGATTGTGAAGAGGATCTCCTGAACATTCTGCTGCCTAGTGCTTGTACTGTATGGAGCAATCGAGTTGAAGAGGTCCCCATGTAGTGCTGTAAAACCAAAAGGCAACACACATGCCTCCCAGAAGTGTGGCTTGGCAGTTGCTCTCCAAGTTGCCCATTTTTTGAAAGAGAGCTCGTGAGCGGAATCATGATTTGCCCCTTTGTGTTACTTTTGGTGTGTCTGGTATTAATATCTGGTGCATGTCAACAAATGATGCTAAAGTGAAACACCAAACCCCCAGATTTTTCTGTAAAACTCATTCCATGAATATTGCAATTTTAAATGCTGTTTTACCGTGTCTGATTAAATCCCAATTAACAATTGAATTTTAAAGAACGAGAACTTGTAGGCAGAATGTTTAGGGAAAAAAATGAAGATTTTTGTGTCTAGTTAGTCTTCCAAACAAAGCACAAATTTAAAGGTGCTTGTTTTGAGTCCACATCATTACTGTTTGGGGGGGGGGACCAAAGTTGCATGCAACCTCTTCATTCCGTTGCCTGCTCCTCTGTTTAAGCAATGCATATTCACTGTCCTTTAAGGCGGGGGACATTCTTATTGGCATACTTCTTCTTTTGTGTGGTGCATCTAAGTCAACCATGTCAAACTTGAAGCCTACTGAGGACCGCACAAAGGAAAACTGATAGCTTCCAGGGCCACCAAAGAAAATGTACTTCTATTAGAAAGTCATATCTATTTACAGGCAGTCCCCGAGTTACGCGGATCCGACTTACGTCGGATCCGCAGTTACGAACGGGGCACTTCCTCTCCCTGGTCTCGAGCAGACCAGGGAGAGGAAGCAAAGCGGCGGCGGAACGCGCGGCCAGCTGACAGCCCAGACGCATCTGGGCTGTCAGCTGGGCCCAGGCCCCCCTCTGCCCCCCCCCCCCCCCCCCCCACGCTGAGGGGGGGG